CCACATGGGAAAAAGAAGCATTCTTTGGGGCAACTTTTTAAGCACAAGTATTATGCTTTTGCACAGCTTGAATGATGAATCAGTCAGCAAGAACTCTAAAACATGGAGTAAGCAGCTGATGTGGACTAGGGAAGTGAGCACATGGCCAATCTGGAGGGTCCCCTATCCAATGGATGGTTCAGGTTGGCCACAGGATTCATTCATGTTCATAAACAGGGAGTCATCTAGTGAGCTTCCCTAGTTACCTGCTTGGAAGACCTTAATATTGATGCCTTGTCAATAAATCAATCCTTTTTAAGTTCCAAGTTCTAATATTCCTTGCAGAGATCATCATCATTGATACATGCCAAGGTATCAAGAACTCAATCTACCTACCATAGACACAGGTAGAAATCTTTTTTGTGTTCTTGGCAACACTGGCTAATCGTTTAATCAGTTTGGCATTCAATCTTTAGTCTCTTTTGTGGGGGTTCCATCTCTAAGCGATATGTGTATAAGAAGTTAAGAATTAAGATGTGTATGTTATAGGTATCACAATCACTGGCAGAGATTCCATTCCCTCCGGCGTCTGCCTGCAGTAATTGGGAATCATGCATTGACCCCTTCTGTCAATCACTTGTGAAAAATGATGTTTCAAATTTTATGGTTCTAATGCTTTATCAGATCATCAGTAAGATATAATGTGGACCAGTCAAAATGCAATATCAATAAGATCATACGTCTAACTTAACGTTATTATTAATTACTAGGGTATTTACCCATACGAGGCATTCCTTGAAACAATGGAGAGTTGGTACTTTAATCTACATATGCTGGATATGGATGCTTGCGCCTGTTTAAAAGAGTTTGTGCCACATGTGACTGCCTAGATCTTCTTACTCTTTGGTGTTCTTATTACTAGGTGTTCACTCTGGCTTTTGATATTGCAGGACATCAGCAGAGGAGATAAAGTCGCTGAGATTAATAACTGCCATTAAAACCCCATATCTTCCTGATGGCAGATTTGACCTTGAAGCCTATGATAGATTGATGAACATTCAGATCATGAATGGTGCTGAAGGTGTGATTGTGGGTGGCACAACAGGTGAAGGTCACCTCATGAGCTGGGATGAACACATCATGCTTATTGGACACACAATTAACTGTTTTGGTGAATCGGTCAAGGTGATTGGGAACACTGGAAGTAACTCAACAAGAGAAGCAATTCATGCTACTGAACAGGGTTTTGCTGTTGGGATGCATGCAGCCCTTCACATCAATCCTTACTATGGCAAGACGTCCCTGGAGGGTTTGGTTTCTCATTTTGAGGCTGTTCTTTCCATGGGGCCTACCATTATTTACAATGTGCCATCCAGGACTGGCCAAGATATTCCTCCGGCTGTGATCCACACCATTGCACAGAGTGCTAACATGGCGGGTGTTAAGGAATGCATGGGAAACGGTAGGATAAAAGAGTACACAGATAAAGGGGTTGTGGTATGGAGTGGCAACGACGATCAGTGTCATGATGCGCGGTGGGGTTATGGTGCCACCGGGGTGATATCTGTTACTAGCAACTTGGCTCCAGGGTTGATGCGTGAGCTTATGCTTGGAGGGAAGAACACTTCATTGAATGCGAAGCTCTTGCCACTTATTGAGTGGTTATTTTGCGAGCCAAACCCCATCGCCTTGAATACAGCTCTAGCACAACTTGGGGTGGTAAGGCCAATTTTCCGGCTGCCTTATGTCCCACTCCCCCTGGCCAGGAGGGTGGAATTTGTGAATATAGTGAAGGAACTCGGACGAGAAAATATCGTGGGAGATGGTGATGTGCAGGTTCTCGATGATGATGACTTTATATTGGTAGGTCGATATTGACCGGTTGCCGAAGTTGGTTGCCTGAGTTTCCTTGTGGTGGTAATGTTAACTCTCGGGGTTAGCTTTCTTTGTGATGTACAAAAGTTAGATTAGAGGTAAAACCAGGTTTACATGGTTGGTATGATCATCGCCATAAGATGTTACCCAATGGACTGAGGACTGTTTTACAGTTTTGCCTTTTGCGTATCTAGTAGTTTGCTTGAACCATATCTATCTTCCACGCTTGAGCTTGAAGCTAATTCTGCGATTTGTAGATTGGTTTTCCACTTTTCCTGTCGATTTGGCAAGGTCTAATCAAGAGAGGAATGGAAGTGTGGACTTGAGATGAGAGGACATCCCATTAATCCACCTCATCAATTGCTATTTGCTGCATTCAGGGGAGGGGTGGGGGGTGGTCTGTAGCCGGTTATTAGCAACTTGCAACCGGTAGGCACCTCACCTCATTGCTGTGGATTCCACAATGAAACGCATGATGATTGATACCACCTCGTAGGGTGGTGGTGAACCTAGTGTGGTAAGTTGAATGTGAAGGCTTGCGTGGCCAATTTATATATATATATATATATATATATATATATATATATATAATCTGTTTATGGAATGGTTAAGGAGGGACTAGGGAGGGAAGAAATAGGTGGTTTTGTGGTTGGAGTGCCTTGAGCCCCACAATGGTGGACGTCAATATCATTCTAATTTCTGATCGAAAATGATCGTAAGAGTAGTAGTGCACATTCTCTCGTCACTAGGTGGGCATCAATTGAGCTGGAACTGATAGTGCCACTTCTCTCGGCCAATTGTGTGCAACAATGGTTTAGTCCCATTGGCCATTCCGCCGTATTTATCCTTGGTTCTGCTTTCATCTGAGAAGCTAACGAGTAATGACATTTGAAAAAAGTGGGAAACCTCCTGCAAAATCAGGTTTCTTTTCTTCTAATGTGTCCTTCAGACTTTTAAGAGAGTGATAGAGTGAGAGTATATATATATATATATATCCCTGGGAGTGTGAATCTGAATGTCCAATAAATAATCTTCGTGAAGTAATAGGACTGGGATCTTAATTAAAGAACAAAGAGTGTGGTTCAGACATCAGACGACTTCCTTCTTCCTTGGCAGGGTATCTGATTCTGGGTTTCCAATAAATTACCTCTGAAGTGGCGACTCTGTCTCTCATAAATTATTGCACTTAATGAATGCGGAATAAGAAACACACCTTAAAAGTATTAAACTGGAGAAGCTAGAGTTTTTTAAACAAAATGTTTGCAAGGATTCAAACTGCTAATCGATCTTGTCAGTCAGTGGAAACAGTCCAAAAGATTTATTGCAAAGCACCATTCACGTCCTATCTATCAATCTATCTATCATCACGTTTAAATTTAATACAACCATTTTATCAGAAAATTTAAAAATCAGTCCCCACTTCACCCACACCAACAGCAGAGTAAATGTTTATTTTGCTTTCAGTAATTACTTAATTACGTTGTAATTGTAATACATCCTTGATTAAACCACCCCACGTTTCTCCATAGAAACAGAAAAAGCTTAATATGAGCACCACGCAAGTTTTTTATTTTTTTTTCCTTTCTCTTAAGATAATATTCACTCTTTAGTTCAAATTAATGCACAGATAGACGACTACATCTCATCCTATTCCAGAAAAAAAAAGAATGAAGTGTATTCCGAAGCCCGGAAATTTCATCTAAAGAAAATAGACATAAATAAAATTAACAAGTGAACGGATAAAAGGTTCATCCCTCCTTATTCTTTTCCACCATAAATATATCCAGGAACCGAGAAAAAAAGAGCTAGAAGGAAAAAACAGCAGCAAAGGAGAGATGAAAGGGAGAGGGAATTCTAATTTCTAACAAGTAGAGAAACAGGTGAAGCAAAAGAAAAGGGTTGTTTTTCATCTTGGTCTTCTTCACTATGATGCTTCAGAGCTGGTGCTGTAATTTGTAGTTGTGATGAAGATGGGTTGCAAGGTTATCCAGATGAGAGAATTTCTTCTGAAGCTCACACATCAACGCTCGGTTCTCTTGGTGGAGTAGGAGCGCTTTCTGTCTCAGTTTCTCGTTCTCCTCTATGATACTTCGGTTCTCCAAGTACAGCCTCAAGTTCTTTAATTCCATCTCTGTCCCCACAACTACTACTTCTTTCTTCAACCTTCTGTTCCTCCTGTTAATTATAATTCTTGATATTAACATTAACAACACTTGAGAGAGAGAGAGAGAGAGAGAGGCTAACAAACCTGGATAACCTGCGGACTCGAACCTTTGATTTTTTGGGTCGGTATCGGCGGGCTGGAGAACATGAAGGGGAAGATAGATACCATTCGGAGGCGTTGATACACATTTTTCTTTCCTTTCTTTAAAGTTCTACTTCAGAGATAAGGGTAGAAAGATAGAGGAGAGAGAGAAAGAGAGAGAAGTATGAGTGGAAATTGAGAGAAGGTAGAGAGGGAGACGTGTTTATATATACAAGAGCGAGAGAGGAGAGAGAGAGGTTGGAATGATGTTAATGTTGGTGTGTGTTTATATGGCGGAGAGAGGGGCAGAGGCTTTCCGAGTGTGAGAGAGGCAGACCAGCGTTGCGTCTCCTACGTCTCTGCAATGATGGCACGAGGGCTCATGATTACTTTCGACCAGCACCCACCTCGATTTTTGTCTCCTCTTGCCCATTTTTAACCCGACCCGTTAGGCTTTTCGGGTCTGTATTCTCACCTGCCGACTGCCGACTCAAGTGTGTCGATGGATAGGTTAAAATGGGTTCAATAATCTAACAATCAACATGACAGAGGGGTTTCATAAGTTTGCATTTCGTATTCATTGGCATTCTGCAATGAATCCATTTCGTTTCCGGGTGATGAAATTATTTGGTTCCACGTGATTGTCAAATGCCCCATTTTGTTTTGTTTCTCGTTAGTTTCTCAACGACTCCGACCAGAACCAGGCTCCCGATCCAATCTGGCATTTGATTTGATTTTGGCAAACAACAAGGCAGCTCAGCTTTGCAGAATATAATATGCTGAACTGATGAACTCACCTGGTTTTTTCGGCGTTTAGTGTACTTTTTTCCCCTGACTAAACCCGAAATTTCCTTCTTCAACGTCCAAACCCCACTCTATTCCCTCTCTCACTCACTGAATTATGGACAGGTTTTCATAGAGGTGATGCTGTATTGACACGTGTAAATAGGTTTGAAATACCCCCATTGACAGGGGAGCGCGCCTCACACCATCCTCAATTCATGCCTGGGATGCTCTGAGGTCGGTGTGAGTCGTGCTCTGTGAGGAGCAGATCCTATCGTTTCCCATGAATAATAATATCATGTACGGGAGATGTTTTCAATGCATACCGGAGCATATTTGTGCTCCATCTCCTACCCAATGGAAACCGACCCAAGTAAGAAACATCAACCACTTAAGAAAACCAAATGCAATAAGGAGAATTGGGATCACCTGCCAATAGAATATGTTCCAACACCCTTTCAACGTAATCTGACACTGCACATCTTACCATGAAACTGGGATCCATGTCAAAAGTGGGACCTCCCATATATGAGATGTGTGGTGTCAGATCATGCTGAAAGGGTGTTGCAATGTGTTTTGTTGGTAGGTGTCCCAACTCCAATAAGGACGCCGGGAGTCACTCAATCCAAGGTATAGCTCACGCTGCTCACCTTCCATCCTTCACTACTTCTCTAATGGAGATTGGCTTCTCCTTTTTCTCTCTTCTTTCTCATCTAACTTGATTGTTAAAGAATTCTTTCCAGGGACAAAACCTTGTGGATTCTGACATTACTCTATGCTTGTTGGTCGCCAGGGCCCTGACTCTAACATTCCTCCCCCTTGTTGCAGATCTTGATGGCAACAAATTGGTTTTGATTTTTAAAACAAAGAACAACTACATTACTAAATTAATTCCCCAAATGTGTTTATCCTCACCTCTTTTATAAATAGCATTTTCCCTCGAATTGGGATCTGCTACTCACAAAGGGTACTACACACCGACCTCACTGGCACTTGGAAACACCTCCCCATGAATAATAATGTATAAGCATGGAGATTGATGGGATGTCCCTGTGAGGTTGGTATGAGGCGCCGTGTGAGGAGCAGATCCCATCTCCCCCCTCCCCCACACTGATCCCAACGCACATGGTGGACTGAGCTCAAATTATCCCTGGAAACAATGCATTTTTCATGATGTGACAGTTGCTTTTGTTTCAAAAAAACAGAACTATTCACATTTACAATAAAAATTGTCAAACAACTAGGACTTGCAAAGGTTATAACCGGTTCAACTATCTAGTCTGGTCTAAAATTTTGCTTGTCAAAAGTTGAACGAGAGGGAGGGGCTGTTTGTATGGATGGTTAAAATACTTTAATCAAACTGCTTACATTTAGATCCGCATTGATTTTTTTTTTTTTTTTAAATTGGAATTTCAGTAACAATAATCCCAATAATAAATTAAAAATTTGACTTAAATAAAAGCTATCTTGTTCCAATCCAAAAAATTAAACAACTTGACTTTGACACTTGCTGTGAGTTTTAGAGTTAAATTTATTGTTGAATGAAGCCTGCAGGGCCCGGATAGTCCTTTCATAGACCCCATTGGACGCCATTATTTTTTTCGGGTTTTAACGATCCATCCCTAAAAATCTTAGTTCTACCTTAAGGGTAGAATGAATCTTGATACTGAATTTACAGGCAAAATGCGATTTATAAGGAAGCTAATAATAGACTAATTGGTGGGTCGTGGGATTAGGGAAGGAGCGTTTCCTCCGTTCTAGAAGGAAACAAAGGTGGCCTGATGGCCTGGCCAAATAATAGAGTAGTAATTGGGTGGTCAATAACATATAATGAATGCACTTTCTCCATTTTCATTTTTCCGGATGCAATTAAGGACGCCTCTCTCTCTCTCTCTCTCTCTCTCTATCTCATTACAAGTACGACGCAAAAATATGCCGGGACCCACTTGTCTATTTCTCATACGCCCAAACTATTCAACACTGGAATGATCAAAATCAAAAACCAACGCCCCAAAATTTCAAAAGTAATCATGAAGAAATTAGCCCTGTTTGTATTGCACGTGCATCTCACGTGATACCCACTTTGTCCACCCCAGACACAGACACAGAGGGGAGGGAGAGAGTCAATGTGGTTAGGTTTCTTCTTTTGTCCCTTTTCTTCATGTAATCGAGTACGAAAACCATACTCATTTATTTTGGAGAGTGAAACACCCATTTTGGCTTCATCTTCCTCTTCATCATCACTCCTCTCTCCTCCCCACAGTCTCTCTCTCTCTCTTTTCTATCAGATAGATAGGTAGAGGGAGGTATGGTGGCTGTAGTGATGATGGCATTCTGTCCATCTCCTTCATTTGAAGTTTTGAACCACCCCGGCTTGGCTGGTGGGCCACGTGGCTTGCTAGAGTGGTACCATGTGAGACCTACTGATCCTATTCCTATGCAGTGCCGATGTGTATACATTGAATTCAAATCAGCCCCTCTGTCCCTCACAACGTCCCACAACACATCCCTGCCGTCTATTGAAAACATCATTTCTGGTATAGGACGTTGTGGGGGCTGATTTGATCTCGTACATTTGCGGCATTCTTCATTATATCTACCGATCATGGTCATGGGTCAGATGACGGACGAGCGCCTACCTTGGAATGATTGTTGTTTGTATCCATTCCATCGTTCTAACTTCTAAAACTTAAAAGCAGCTCAGGTGCATATCGGACCGTCGGCTTGTCTTGTGGCCCATGCGTACGGCTTAGATCGAATGATCCCATTTGAATTGTACTGGATGATGACAGTCCATCTCGTGTTCAATGAAATTTTTGACTTGCATTGCATGGGAGGATGGATGACGCCTTCTTTTCAAATTTGACTTTTTTTCCCCTTTTCCTGTTTAATGAGATTCAACAGCAAAAGCTACTCCGACCCACAACAGTTAAATCCGGTGTTTGTTCATACTTGGATTGGATCAAACAGACGAGGACATTGATACTGCTGCAATTCATCTGTGTATGATCTCTAAGAACCGCAGGAGCAGAAGGTGATTGATTGATGGGGAGGGGGGGGGGGGTTCTGAATTTAGATTGGAGGTCTTGATTTGGGGGCCATTTTGCTATAACAGCCCCTGTCCTATCTTTCTATTCTAAACTTATCCATACCAAGAGAAGAGAATCTGAACTGGTGGACCCAAAGGGGAGAGTGGTCACAGTCCCACAGCAGCAGCAGCAGCTACTGAAAAAATGGTCCAATGCACTCAATTTCATTCTTTAATAAGAGAGGAAGTGGCTCTCTCTCTCTCTCTCTTTCTCTCAATCAACCTTCTTATTATACACTACAGTGAGGTGAGCTCCTTTTCATTTCTTTGTTTTTGTGGTCCATTAGGAGGAAGGAAGAATTGGTTGTTCGTTTTCAATCTTACCTCACATCCCAACTTTTTATTCATCTCTCATTATACTGAGTTTGAATACTGAAACCTGTGGTCAAAATGTTAATTTCTATGCTTTGGATGATGATGATGATGATGGCCATGTCTCATTGGGGGAATGGATGGAGTCCAGAGACAGTCCATCCATCCTCATCAGTCATCATACTCTTATTGAACATGGGAGCTAGGCTGAGCCATTTTTGAGCAGTGAAGAGGAAAGAGTTGGACTTGGGGAGGAGCACCACTCAATCTCAACTCAACCCTCATTTCTACTTCTCTACTATCACTCTACTATTGTCATTACTACAGATACTGTCTATCAACAGATGAATGATGAAAGTATGAAACCCACCCCATTCATGATTCACCACAGCTCTCCAAATTAAGCGTTTCTCAGCTTTCATTGGGCTTCTGTTCTTTCTATTGTTCTACCTTCTACCCATTTGAAGTAGTTCACAATTTCACATGGATCATTGATGATGATGTCTCGTGTGGTCCACGTTATCATCCATCCCCCTCTCTGCTGTGCTGTGCTGTGCTGCCACTCAACAGCACAGTGCTTTCCTGTTTACAATCGATTGCGCTTAAGATTCTTACACGTCCATCATGAGAAGTACATGCACGCATTAACAGATATGCTGCAATTAATGCACGCATGTACATGTCATGTATGATATCGTTATTCTGCCTACAATGCATTCAGCCATACGATAAGAGCTCGTCTCTGCTCTTAAGTCTTTACCCAGTCAAATTCAATCATGCTTCTTCAGCTCAAACTCAAATGGTTAACAACGCTTAAACAAGGCTAGCCTCTTCTCTTCAGTACTTCCGCATGCGCTGACTGACTTGCTCCAGCCAGCCACGCGCCCATTCCGCCCATTGGCATGAGCATGTCAGCTTGATGGGCTGGCCTGCAGGCAGGCATCAACCTTTGAACCAGACATCTATTTGTTTGATGGACGGTGCCCTTCCTCACCTACCAAATTGGCAAATTCTTCCAACCAGAATCCTGGAATTAGATTTAGATGGTTGGGTTGCGTCCATGTGAAAAATGGTGCCATCCATAAATACAGGCATTCAAACACATTGAGTGATAGTAGAAGCGTCAGCTGCCCTTATCTATCTCCTCTGCTTACCTAGTTATAACTTTTTAGAGAGCTATTAGATAAGTAAGCATGCCCAAAGGATCTCCATCTTTGTATTATACCTTCACCACCAGTTCTTCAGGGATTCATCACTTTGAGCAAGTTAGTCAGTTTGGCTATGGTTTTGAGTCTTTTCCTCCCTTCACCTCTTGAATCTCAATGGCAACATATGGAATACCCACATTCCATGAAGAACCAATTCTTTCTGTATATTTCCATTGATTTTGCAACTAGAATGACCATTTCAGGGAAATGGAAACATTATATACTTTGCCGATGGCTATCAAATACAGATAATTTACTGAAAGATGTACAAAACTAATGAAGAACCACAAAAACAAACTTGAGGCACTTCATATTTAACAACCCTTTAACAGGTCATATAGACTCTTTTAATCTAAAGACGCTACAGCTTATGATAATTAATACAGAAACTTGAAAATGTATAGTATTACAACTAGGAAGATGCCGTCGATTCCCTTGTTTGACAGACAAATTCACTGATGTTTTAGATATCTCAGATCTTCCAGCATTTACCAGCCAATACATCCAACTTTTAGTTGAAAAAATAATGTTCCTTTGTAATGTTGCCAGAAGCTGCACAGTGGTCTGTGCATACATATTTCACAACAATTATAACATGGGAAGGACATTTGTCTTCTGAATGTGCAGTGTCATTCTAAGGATTTGGGTTTCTTGTCGCGAAGAGATTCATTTCCCCTCATAGCTGAGAACACTTCTACTTTATTTCCTCTTCCTTTTTCTCTGTACTAGTACAACTTCCATAACCAATGATGTAGATTGGAATTTTCAGCCACTGACTAATAAACTTCCATTAAAACAAATGTGCCCTAATATAATGCAATCAAGAAGAGAAGATTTTACCTTGTAGACTGGCCATGGTTCTAGTAAAAAGTACTCTTACAGGTTCTCCGGCCCCTTCTGAAAAGATCTGTATATGCGAAATGCGGCAATGCACATAGTCAAGTTACCAATAACTGTCAATGCTGCTTGGATAGCCACCAGTACCTATGATTTGTTACAGTAGAACATATATGACAGAGAGAAAGAAGGTAAGAGAAAGCTGATGAAATGAACAAATGGTAACCAATTATCACACACACACACACACAAATTGTGTCTGACACCCCCTTCAACTTACAAGCACGCATTCATATATTTCTAACATATTTAAAGTCTTACAAATTGGGAATATTGTATTCAGGTTTTTCTGGATCTTCAGGAAAGGTAGGACCCATGAAAATAAAAGCCAAATTCTATACTCTGTTATTTCTTTTCATTGAATGTTTAACATATTAATCTTTTCCTTCAACATGGTCACTTGATAATTTGAGATTTCAACTAAAACAAATGGGTGTGCCAGTCAGGTCATTTAGTGAAAAAGTCTAAAACTGCCCAGGAATCTTCTACATGCTCCTATTGCCATCCTTTCTTCACAGGGACACTTTCAGCTTAAAGCTCATTGCCATGTGTTCAAATAGGTATACTTTGGATAGCTTGGATTACTTACGGGAAAAGACCAAGAAAAAGAACAGTGTAGAGGTAATGTGAACACATGGCTGATCCAGAGGATTTAGATCGGTCCCTGAATTTGTCCACATGGCTGTAATAGGTAAGGTGGTCTAGCAAGCTTGTACCATTGCATCCATGGGAAAAGGTACCCTAATTGGGTCAACTAAGGGCAGTCCCTAGCCAAATTACCTGTTTCTGCCATGAGAAGGAATCCTGTGGCAGATCAAACTGTTCATATGATAAGGTATCCTTCACCATATAGTTATACCCCAGTTCACATTAGCCTTATACAGGACCTGATATTGGATCCATCCCCAAGTAATATGAGCCATCCAAATTGTCAATATTTTAATTGTGGAAAGGAGGAGGGCTTATTCTGTGAACCTGAAAAGACCCATCTCATCCCATCCCATATACAACAAACTACAAAAACAGAGCAACAATTACTAATGTAGGTTGACTGTCAAGTTCTAAATGAGATCTTCACCCATATGATAAGAAAAATAAGTATGCTTGCCTCGAGAGATTCGGAGTTATAGAAGAAATGCCATGTACATGCACATAATGCCCCACCTAGCAGGGGTACCTAAATCAATTAAGATTTTCATTAGAAAGTTCATAAATAAAATATGAACCACATTTAGAAATATCACATTATCTTACAAGCAGAAATTCATGACTAATAATTGTAAAACCAAGAATGCTTGCAACTTGTGCTGCTACTTGCTTAAAGCATTACTGTTTCCCTACAGCAATGCCTTTAAGGAAATAGCAAACAAAAGTAGAAGAAGAGACATAAATAATTTGGACATTCAAATCGTTTGTTTTGTTCAATTCTCTGTACTAACAAGAATATTTGAAAACTAATTGATTTTCCTAATTTTGAATCATATCTCTTGACAAATGTTCTTAAGCAAATTACAACAAACCTTGATTAAGAAAGAGAAGAAAGAAAATAGTGCCTTGGACAATTTCTCTCCTTATTAAGGAAGAAAATGCAACAATTAATTGTATTTTCTTTCAAACTTTAAAGATTTTATTTTCCGGGAAAATGGTACACTCAAGGGACATGGTCATACATGCAATAATGCAAACATATATGAAACATGCATGTATTTATTATTTTCTTTGCCAGCAATCCTTTTTGTGCTGTTCAGGACAAATGAAAAGAAAAAGGAACAGCTGAACCCAAACACTTTGACATCATTGATGTTGCTAGAAAACTGAAAATGGTAGCTTCTCACAGTCCTTTTTCTTTTAAAGGATTTCAAAGGTGTTGGTTGTGTTAGGGCTGCAAATCAGGTTGCCTGAGTTGAAGAGCTTCAACTACATCAAGCTTGGATTAAGGTTTGGGTCCACACAAAATATAGCAAATGCTCAGCCCAACCGAACCCAAGTTGCACCCATAGTTGTTGTCGTCTCAAGATTGATTTGGAGGCACTTGTAGCCCTAATGTTGAGTGATGTTGAACAGAATGGAATGATTAAACTTACTTATCCTCTTCTTGGTAAGCATAAACAAGCTTATATCTGCCGGTTTCTTGCTTGGAAGTCCAGTCTCTTGAACATTTAGGCATTATTCTATGATGAAATAAGGAGAATAATTTGTGTTTACTTGGTTACATTGGCTGAAAACTTTAGCCTTGTTTGCAGACTTCTCAGTAGATGAGATGGTAAAGAACTGGAAGGAAATTGCAGAATTAGCCTCAGCTAAGAAGACATCACTCTCTTGCTGGAGTCCCCCATCTAATGGCTTTCTTAAACTAAATTTTGATGGCAGCAGTATGGGAAATCCGGGTCCATCTGGAATAGGGGGAGCAATAAGAGATGAACATGGAAATCTGTTAGCTATGTTTTTAGGACCAATTGGGGAAGGGGATCCCTTGAGGGCTGAGATTCTTGCAGCCATTGAAGGGGTTCGAAGAGCCAAGGAGATGCAATTTAGAAAGCTGATTATTGAAGGAGATTCTGAAGTGGTGGTGAACTGGTTAAAAGAAGATAACTCAAGGATATGGAAGTACAGCAATGAAAAATGAAAATTTAAGTGGCTGGTTAAGGATGCTGAATTCAGTACAAATGGGTTAAGAGAAGTGCAAACTCACTGGCAGATGATTTAGCCAGGCAAGGGGTTAATAGAAACTCTTTGTTTTGGGCTTTATTGTAATTGTATTTTCTGCTCATAGACTGTTTTAGAGAGCTAAGATTGTTCAGCCCCCTTGCTTTGTAATTCTTCAACTTAGGAAAGGCTGCAACGTAAGGTGGGGTATGTGGGTGATTTGGATTGCATGAGTGAATGTACATCCAAGCCAGAGGTTCCTCAATACGATGGACTGTCTAGATTTGCCACAAGATTCCTCTGGCAAAAATAGTTGGGCTCATCTTGGAAGCAAGTATGTCACTAACAACAATGGATGGTAATGCTGGCCCAGCATGGCAACTTTCCCCCTTCAAACGAAATTCATTGCGGAAATAGCCTCTTTTTCGCATTCACACTTTTCTTGGGATTTTGGTTTTAGAGGAGGGCTTAAAGGCTTTGGATGTCAGGACATCATTCTTCTCTTTGACTCCCTTAAACATGTTTTTCTTTTCTTTTCTTTTTAATTTTTGATAAATGGTAAAGATTTAAACATGTTTTTCTTGTGACATCCAGATCTGATTCCAGGGTCTAGGCTCTTGATTCCTTGGGTTACTTCTCTGGCTCTTTAAAGCTTAGGATGTCTCTTTTGTCTCTTCAAGGCTTCATTCTTTTCCTAGTTAAGGCTTTATGGGATGGTTCTGAACCATCAAACATTGAAGATTTTTGCTGAGAAGTCACTTTAAAGATAACCAATGAGATGGTGTTGCTCCCCTCATTTATGGGATGGTTATACACAATCAAAGATTGAAGCTTTTTGCTAATAAGTCACTTTAAAGTTAACAAATGAGAAGGTGTCTCTCTCCTCATTTATGGGAAGGTTTACATCATTGAAAAATAAATGTCTCTAGGAGAGGTGTCTTCAGGAATCATTTTGGATGCATATTTCTAAGCTATTTGGGCCTTATAGGAGAAGGAAACTTGTTGCTAGCTCAGCTGTTATTACTTTTACAGCTTCTGGAATTGGCCTACTGCCATGGTTGTTTTATAGACAGGTCATCAGGTAGAGGATGATTGTCAAATGGTGATAGGATAACTTAGATTCCATTCTCCTGTGGCACTTTACTAGAGAACTCAAGGCTCTGGAATCTAAGTTGAAAAAGCTCATTTAGATGAGTTCCTAGATCTGCCAATGACTTGGGAGATGCTCTAGCTGGGAATGGGGCTGTGTAAGCTTTTTCCCTTCTGGGGGTACTAGGCCAGGGGGGGAAGTAATAAATTTTCCCCTGTACTCTTCTTTTTTATGTTATTTGTCAGCTTTCTATTGTACACTCTTGTCTCCCTTGATCTATTTCTGGGAGATTTACCCTTGAATTTATGAACAAGATTCTTTTGATAGGTGTTAATAATGAAAACAAGAAATGCAGAATGGAAAATTGGAATTACAATTTTGGTGAAAAATGATGTTGCTGTGTAAATCCTTCCTTGTATTTTCGGGAAACCTGATCCTGTTTTAGTACATCCTTATTCATTTAAGTATCATTCCTTATGGATTAGGACAAAAAGAAATCTAAGGTATAACATTTCCTCAAGTTCAAGGGTAAAAGATAAAAGACATTAATTTGAGTAATCATCTTCCAGAAAGGTGCTCAGAACACATGCATATTTTTCATCAAATTGCTTTCTTCTCCACTTAATTATAAATTCTATAATACCGCAGACTCAACCAATACAAGCTCCCAGTCCTCACATGACCGTTTCCAATGAAAATCAGCATTTCATGTCAAGTCCAATTAAAAATTTATATTTTCCATAGGTGGAACTTCAAGCATGTACAAATTTATAAAAAAATACAGAAAATTATCATAATGGATGAAAGGAAATAGAAAAAGAAGAACGAGGAGTGATATGCTTACCATACCCCAAGAGAGCCCTTTCCAAGATTCATACCCAGATTTCTCCCCGTATTGCCAAACTAAAGCCATTGCCGTGACCCTTGAGAGAGAGAGAGAGAGAGAGAGAGCAATAACAAAGGAATATTAGCAAGGAAACAGAAAAGGAAAAGGAGGGAATCGGAAACCCCACAAAGACAAGATATCAAATTCAGATACTAATAATGCGATGCAAAAATAACGAGTGAGAAAACAATCGTTTCACCATTCGATGACGCTGGAGACATGAACAGCCCAGGTCGGCAGCGAGAGTGCGTTTGCGGGTTCATTGAGTTGCAGAGAAGAACCCAGTAAAGGGAATTCCGCAGCAGAGGCAGCTCCGCCAACTGTCAGGGCTAAACCTGTCCCGACAAGAGCTGCCACGGTGCCGTGGTTGTGAAGGATATCGTGGATAATGGGTTTCAAGGTTTGTCTACGACGAGAGATCGGCAATGGCGGAAGGTGAGTTGCAGTTGATGGGGTTGGAGCGCCAACCGTTTGTGTTGGTCTGTAAGAAGCGAAAGGCTTTGGAGAATACGAGGCTACTGTTGCCATGAGCTATAGTAGTAGACTAGCAGTACACTAGGCTTCAACTCCCCAGCTCTGAATCTGAATTTCGGTCTGCAAATCAGCAGCTTGGGATCTTGGGGACGTTTTTGATAATATAAAATTCAGATAATGTCGCATTTGTGAAAATATTCTGGCAAGAGTGTGCCACACCACATTACGTACGTTACACGTGGCAATTTCAGATAACATTTTTTTTTTCTAAAAACTTACATTACATTAAACAAACGGACGAAAACAATTCAGACGGCAAGACCAACAAATTAAACAAACACAAAGACTTAATACCAAAGGTAAAAAAACAAATACAAAGACGCAACGCAACAAAAGAAAAAAAAATAAAAGAAAGCAAAACAACAGAGAAGACTACAAAGACTAAGGGGCACCAATCCACTCACCCACTAACATCTGAGAAAATCAACAAGTTCAGAAAATAATTTTCATTAAAACCACCAGAGGCCAGCTTGTGAGCAGCTGAATTTGCTTCATGGAGAGCCCATCTGAAACGAACATATCTGCTTTCACAAAGAGTTCGAATGTCTTTTAACAAAATTATAATATCTTGATGGCGATTTACTAAATTTGAAGATAAACAGTTCACAATATGAAAAAATGTCCAGCTCAAACAAAGTACAGAATCTGGATTCTTAGTAATCACCACTTTTAGAGCTTCAACAAGAGCAGCGACTTCCCATTATAGGAGAGGAGGGCTTAACTGAACCACAACCAGCCACCAGCAAACTCCGTTTCAGTCACGAGCCTTAAAAAAACTAAACTAGTCTTATTAGGATCAGCAAAACCGTCATCTACATTGATTGTTGATACACCCCACTCCCCCACTTTGATTCATCAATTACATAGATCTCTCTCGATTCAAACTTCTATCACATAGTTATGCATATAAAAGGTGTTTTATAACTTAAACATTTACAGGTATCTCAGAGCTTTGTCAAAGTTATTGGTGAGAAGAGCTTAAATCAATTATTCTTAAGACGGACCAGAGATATCCATATACATAAAATGCCCCGTCTCTGCAAGAGTTTCAAATTTTGTTCAGCACTATTATGGCCATGTGCTTCTTTCCTGGTTTCATGAACAATCCCGAGAATAAACCCAAGCTCTCATGAGAAGCGACACTTATATGTTCGTGTAAGTAAAGTTCCACTATGTGTTCCGTTATTAGACACAATTCAAAATTTCATTAAGAGTTTAACTCAACTTCTCATCATAACAGACAACACTGTTTATATATTGATGGGAAATTTCTCAATGTCAATGCTAACAGTCACATTGTTGTAACTTGTTGTTACCCATTAAACTCAATACTGATGTTTTTTAAGTTCAGTTTGGATTATCATTATAGGTGACTAAGTAAAGGGTTTTAATCTCATCTCTTTTGTTGTCGTTCTTACCAATTCTCTAGTTAAACCTTTGGTAAGAGGATCAACTAAGTTTTTACTTGACCTCACATAATTTATAGTGATAATTCCATCTTGAATCAGTTGCCTAACAAATTCATGTCTCAGACTTATATGTCTGAACTTACCATTGTATGTACTACTATAGGTTCTCGACTAGGGGTGATCATGGGCCGGGCTGGACTTTGCACTTATGATAAGGGCTAAAGCTTAGGCCCGAGCCCAAGCTGGCCCGGAGTTCCGGGCCTATAACATAAGCCCTAGCCCACGTTTATATGAGCTCGAGCCGAGTCGGGCCTAATTCTGGGCCAATATCTTTCATATATAAAACATTATATATCTATAATATTTAACATGCATATAAACTTTTATTTTATATATTATATAATATAAATTATACATTCCATGTCATAATATTTATATATAAAATATATAATATAATATAAAATAACATGTATACATTATACACAAAATGTGTAAGTTTAAATATATGCGGGCCAGGTCGGGCTTGAAGTATTAAGCCTAAGCTCGGCCCTAAAATTTGCGGGCCTGATATGGGCCCGGGCCAGGCTTGAACACAAAACGTAGGCCCAAGCTTGGAATTTTCGGGTTGGGCTTGTGCAGGCCGGGCCGGGTTGAAATGATCACCCCTACTCTCGACAGAGTTGCCTCACTATCATAGTAAATGGAAATTGGAGGCATAGGACTAGGCCAAAGTTTTATATCCAATAATAAATTCTTAATCCATTCAACATCTTTTCCAATAATCGCTAAGGCAATGAATTCGGATTCCATGGTCGAGTGAGATATATAAGTTTGTCTCTAGGATGCCCAAGATATCGCATCCCCACCAAGGACGAAGATCCATCCAGAGGTGGCCTTGTTATCTCCATTACCGGTAATCCAACTTGCGTCAATGTACCATTCCAGTACAACTGGATAATCACAGTAAAATAAGCCAAGTTCTATGGTTCTTTTGAGGTACCCAAGAACTCTCTCAATTTCCTTCCAATGCTCTGCACTGAGATTACTTATAAACTGACTAAGTTTGCTTACTACAAATGTAATATCAGGTCTACTACAAAGCATAGCATACATTAGATTTTCTATTGCACTAGCATACTCAAGTTATGCAATTGCTCTACTAGAATTTTCTACTAGCTTTATACTATCATATAGTGTGCTATATTCTTTACATCCTAAATACTTAAATTTCTCAAGTATTCTCTCAATGTAATGTGATTGACTTAATGCATAACCCTTACTATGCCTTTTAACATTTATTTCCAAGACAGTATCTACTTTTCCTAAATCTTTCATCTTGAAGAGAGAGACTAAGTAACTTTTAATTTCATTTATGCCAACCATATTAGTACCCACAATAAGCATGTCATCAACACAAAGACATACAATTAAACCATAATTTCATTAAATTTTGAGTAAATGCATATATCAACACTATTGTGTTTAAAATAAAAAATTATAATGCAAGAATCAAATTTCTCATGCTATTGTTTGAGTGCTTGTTTTAAACCATATAGTGATTTAACTAGTTTACAAACTTTTTTTTTCATTTCCAAGAAGAACAAATCCCTGTAGTTGTTTCATATAGAATTCTTCATTTAAATCACCATTTAAGAAAGCAATTTGAACATCCATTTGACGAACAAATAAATAAATTGATGCTAATGCTATAAGTGTTCTAATAGAAGTTGTTCTAGTTACTGATGCATACGTGTCAAAGTAGTCAATCTCTTCCTTTTGATTGAATCATTTGGCTACCAATCTAGCTTTAAAAGTTTGTACAGTTCCATCAGTGTCGTATTTTCTTCTAAACACCCATTTACATTTGATTGGTTTTAATCCTGGAGGCAAGTCTATTAGTATCCATGTGTTATTTGACATTATTGAATCCATTTCATCATTTATAGTTTCCTTCCAAAATGCAACATCTCTAGAGGTTACGACCTCACTATAGGTCTTCAGATCATTTTCAATGTTTAGTACAATGGGGATCTTATTTAAAATCTTTTCTCTATTAGCCTCGACCAAGAATACAATTGATCGAGTAGAGATAAAATCTAAACCTAAGTGTTTCTTTGTTCTTTGCCTTTGATTTCTTCTATGTTCTATTGTAGTTGTTACAGTTGTGTCATTTATTCTTTCAGTCTCATTGTTGTCAATGGGTATTGAGATATGAGTTTCTCTTTCAGGTTCTCTGTCATTTTCTATAGATGCAAAACATAGTTTATTTTCAAAGAATTCAACTCTAGTTTCAATTATTATGTTGGGCTCTAAGTATAGAAGCTTATAGGCCTTGCTATGTATTGCACATCCAACAAACATACTTTCTTTTGCTCTGAGTCCTAAATTAGTTCTCTTAGGATTTGGAACACTGTAATATGTTAAGCACACCACACTTTTAGGTATGATAAGTTAGGTTTTTTTCCTATCCATAATTCATATGGACACTTGTTATTAACTCTAGAAACAATTCTGTTATATAAATGGCAGGCGGTTAGAAGTGCTTCCCCCCACATGTTTAAGGGTGTATTAGCTTTCATCAGCATATAGTTTATCATTTATGTAAATATTTTGTTTTTTCTTTCGGCCAGGCTATTCTATTGAGGGGTATAGGGAGCAGAATTCTGATGTATTATTCCAAATTCTTCACAAAAAGAATTAAACTCTTTTTTTAAATTCTCATTACCCCTATCACTTCTAAGAATTTTAATTTTCTTTTCCAATTGATTTTTAACTTTAATTTTGTATAGTTTAAACATGTCAAAGGCTTCATCCTTAGTTCTCATAAGGTAGACATAGGTGTATTTAGAAAAATCATCAATAAAAGTTATGGAGTATCTCTTTCCTCCTCTAGTTAATACACCATTGACTTTACATATGTCATAATGAATTAGTTCTAAAAGTTGAGAATTTCTCTCAACACATGGGAAATGTTTCTTGGCCATTTTAGATTTTACACATATCTCACATTTCTCATTTAATTCAAAATTATAAGCAATTAAACCAAGTTTACTCATGTTTTAATAGATTTAAAATTTAAGTGTGCTAATCTATCATGTCATAAAGAAAAAGAGTCAACAATATAAGTAGAACATTTTCCTTTATTAATACTTAATTTGAACATACCATTACAACCATATCTCTTTCCAACAAACATCCCATTCTTGGACAGGATTAGTTTGTCAAATTCAAAAACAACTTTGAATTCCCTCTTACAGACAAGATTTACAGAGACCAAGTTCTTTCTAATGTCAGGAACATGGAGAACATTCAAAAAAGTCAATGTCTTTTCGGAGGTGAAGTTCAATTCCACGCTGCCTCTTCCAACAACTTTAGCACATGTTTGGTTTTCCATCTGTACCTCCTATCTATCAATCACTTCTTCATATGTCTTGAACAACGACTTGTCCTTGCAAACATGGACTGTGGCGCCTGAAACAAACTACCATCCAAAAGGCGATTCTGCCATATTGACTTCAGTAATCATGGCCACTAGATTGTCTTTCACCATCTTTGTGGACTTGGTTTCACCTTTTCGATATTGGCAAACTCGGGCATAGTGCCCCTTCTTTCTACAAACATAGCAAGATCCTTTCTTATTGCTGCTCTTCTTGAAGTTCATGTCCTTCGTCTTTACTTGTAATGTAGGATTAGTCTT